CAAGAGGGCGGACTGATGAGCAGGCATCAAGGGTGGGGGTTGCCAGACATGCAGAGAGCATTATGCCCAGCTGTCTTGCAGGGAAACCTCCACCTCCAAAGAGGCCCGCACACAAGGCAGAGACCTTCTGTAGCACAGGTGGCTGGAGTAGTCCAGTGTCTGTCCCTCAGCTGTTGGACACGCAAGGGCAAGGGGGCTTGTGGGTGTATCAGACCTTGCTTCAGATAAGCCCTCCATGACCGCTGCCGTCGGCCCCCGATGCCTAGCAGGGCCGGTGGGAGGGCTGAGGAGCCGCTTGGTTGGAAGCCGTGCTGTGCCCTGGCCGCTGGTGCTCTCAGAGCTCAGTCCTTCACCCAGTTCTGCCGAGAGGGGAAAAGATGAAAGGAAGTCGTCATGTGGATTAGTGGTGTCTTTATTTTTGTTCATTTGTAGTCACTTCATATGTTACTTTGTGAATGTACTTTTTTTTCCTTAGGCAAAAAGATGAGTGTCAGTTCCCACCACCAACTTAATCAAAATAGAGTAATAGTCTTAACCAGGGTCATGTAGAGACAGCATTCCCAAGCAAGCATAAAACTGACATTGATTTCTTTGCCTGGAAATAAAAAAATAAGTGTCTGTGAGTCATCTTTGGATTTGCATTACAAACAGGAATGCAAATGAATGCCACCCTGTCTGCATAACCTACAGATTTCAAAAATATGTTTTGATTTGATGCATTTTAAGCCAAATATGCAAAGTTTACTAAAATCCTAAAATTTTCCAGTGAGGTATTCAAAGTTTGAGTTTTTGCTTGTGTTGATGACTCATTTTCTCTTTTGTTTTCTGTTTTTGTTCTTGATTTACCTTAACCTACCTGCTGACTCACGCCATCCAACCAACAGACAACGCGAAAACCATGTCTCCGTCTGTATGTTGCGCACCTGCTGCTCAAACATCCCAATTTGTAAATAATACGCAAATATCCATCCATGAAAACATCACATATAGGAAACGGTTGGTTTCATGACTTTCAGCAGTTCTTAAAACTCCTTGCTTTGCTCGCTCTCCTCCTGTTCTTCCTTCCATTTCCTGTGACCCCTCACCACTGCCTTCCTGAGGGGTGTGGTCAGAGTCTGGCAGTACACCCATCCCCTCTGGCCTCTTCTTCTCGGCTCCTGGGCTCCAGCAGGGGCTTCTGAAGGCCCTCCCAGGAGCCACTGGATTCAGGAGCTGGCCTTGGGTCTAGAGAGGAGGTGTAGGGTCTTCTGAGTGAAGCGGCTAAGTGCCCAGTGTTTCTTGTCAGGATTGGGCTCAGAATTGGGGAGATTTTTGTAGGACATGAGTTTGGACCTGATCCTACAGAGTCCATGGTTTCTCTTGCACCGTCTCCCTTCTGCTCCCTTCCCCACCGTACCAACATACAAGGCTGGTTCTCCCCGGTGGCCTCTGACGAGGTCTCCTGTAACATTCTCCCCGGACATGCCCTTCCATAGGGAACCCTCTCTGGGTCTCAGGGCTGGAGGGGATTGGAGGTTTTGTCTTCATGATTCAAAAAGGGGTGGTGTAAGGCCTGATGGAGTGGGAAGAGGGTCTGCCCCCAGAGACAGTGAAGCTCAGGGCTCTTGCACCCAGGCATCATTGATCCACTTGTGCACCCTTGCTCAGTGAGCTCGTGTGGAGTGCAGGTAGCATGAACTGGGGCTTCCTTCCAGGCCTTCAGGGATGTTTGGAGGAGAGCAAAGATTCCAGGAGCAGATTAAACTGAAGCTGTGACTGGAAATTCACATAAAGTAGCAAATATTTGAGATTCCTGTTACAAAACGAACATTAATGATAAAGTGTTTCACAAGTGGAGCAGAAGATCTTGAGTTGTGAGAAAATGCCATTTGACGCCGCAGAAATTTTTGACTCAGGCCTTTTCGTGGCCATTTCCCGTCCACTTGGGAAGAGCACCCCCCCCCCCGTGCCCTTCCTCACCCTCCAGAGCACACATCATCACCTGACATGCTGCGCATGTTGGGGTATACAGAGCTTTTCTTTTCTTCATCATTGTCCCATGAGAACAAAGCTGATTAGGAGAACAGTTTGTTGCAGCATAGACTGTGGCCCCCAGCAAATATGCACAGGTCACTTTGCTTGACCCTGACTGGAGACAGTGATGTACTTCGATGCAGGAGATGCCGATCCGGGTCTGAGGCCTGTTGATCCCCTTCGTGGGGGCCATGTTTCAAAATGCCTGGCGTACCTTTATATCCTTTAAATCTCAGACTCCTCACCGTCTGGGCACAAGGTCCTAATGTCTCCATCTTGTGGTTGAGGAAGCAAGGGGCTCAAAGGAGCCAGGGACCAGTGTACCCTCAAGGTG